GCCCGGCTCAATGGCCGAGGGGGCCGGGCGCAAGAGGGCGAGGAGAGCTGGATGCAACGCGAGGTGTGGATGTCCGTCTTCCGCTACCTCACTCGCAGGGAGCTCTGCGAGTGCATGCGGGTGTGCAAGACCTGGTACAAGTGGTGAGTGTGGGGACACGTGGCGGCGGGGGGCGCATAGCCAGGCCTACCCACGTCCTGACCCCTGGGCCACGCCAAGCCTCGTGCCTGATGAGCAGCCGGAGGGGAAGGGGGAAGGGATCTCTCCTCCAGCCCCCTCGGTGTCCTCCCTTTGCTCCACGCAGCTGGCACTTGCCGGGCAGCGTTGCCCTCAGACTCGGTGTGGCCAGACCTGCTGGCTGCTGTTCTGCCATACATGCAGGTCTCTATTGTCCCTTCTACTGCCTTTCTCCTGTCCCCTCTCTTTGGGAGATGGTGGTGGGCTGTGCTGTCCCCTGCTGTGTCCCTGCAAGGTGCCAATGCCCTTTCCTCACCCACCGCCCTGCGTCGTCCTTGCCCTTCCCTGCCACCCGTCCTGCCTCGGCCTCCCAGCAGGCAGGGGAGGGCAGACTGAGGCAGGGATGGGTTTGCTGGCTGGAACCGACTCGACTCAGGGGGTGGCAGGCCTGAAGACAATGCTGGCACTGGGACAGCTGTGGTTGGAGGGCTTGGGAACAGACAGGGGACTTGGAAACTGGGAGGCTTCTAACCTCTGAGCAGCGGGAATGGCACAATGGGAAAGGACTGGCTCGCTTTGATCAGTGGCTGCTGGGAATGGTGGGGCGTGGTGGCTGGAGGGGAGCGTCCCCTCACCTGCCCCTGGGGTGGCATCTTCAGGAGCACAGCTCAGCTGCCATCGGGTCCTGGGTCTCCCCAGTCTGCCACAGGAGAGGAGGAGTTTGTGCCACCTCCAGGCTCTGTTGCAGCTCCCGGCAAAGCAGCGAGTGCTGCCGAGGCCGTGGGGTGGGACCAGGCTGAGTGTTTTGCCTGCTGGGAACAAGGATGCTTAAGATCTTTGCCCTGGTGGGAGGAGCGCCCAGGAGGGGGCAAGCAGGCAGACAGCTGCGACTCAGAGTCTTATTACGTGGCAGCAAAACCCAGCTGGGGCTGTTCTGGGCATCCCTGGGTGGCTGGACACCCTCGGCAACCTCCCTGCGTGTTTGGGGAAACCTAGGGAAACCAGGCAGAACAGCCTTGTTCTGCGGCTGGGGCCATGCCAGGGCTGGGTTCCTCCCTGCAGCCAAGAGACCCATCAGCCGTCTCATATCCCGGGGGGTTCTTGGGGGCTCAACTTTCAGCCTTGTCCTCATCCCCAGGTGCTGTGACAAGAGATTGTGGACAAAGATAGATTTGAGCCGGTGCAAGTCTATCACCCCCCAGGCGCTGAGCGGCATCATCAAAAGACAGCCGGTCAGCCTCGACCTCAGCTGGACCAATATCTCAAAAAAACAGCTTACGTGGCTCGTCAACAGGCTGCCAGGTGAGCGTGGGCCGGGAAGGGGTCCCTACCTCTGCCACCAGCCTGCTCCAGGGCTTCCTGACGGCTGGACCACAGCGAGA